TCCTTGAGAAAATTTGCCATGTACTGTACCTGATATATATCCAAAATAATCAATATCGAATCAAATCAAATTGAATCAGAATAGCACACGTACATCTGCAAGATGCCTGTTAAAGATTTCTTCATCTGGAAAGCATCTGCTGTGTTCAAACATCTGATAGACATCTTTCAGATGTCAGTTTTACATACATTCTAAATAATAAACATCTTAAAGACATTTTCTAAACGTCTATTTGACATCTGATAGGACACGTCCTATCGACGTATTGCAGATGAGCAAACACTAAAAAATACGTCTTGAAGACGTCAAATAGACATCTCTGTGATGTACGTGTGCTATCAGGGATAATCGAATCGCAAGCTTGTGAATCAAAATCGAATCGAATCATGAAATTTGTATCAGAAACCAGCCCTACAAATTAATATTTTATGTCCAATTATTTACTTATGTGGCAAGTAGCCGGGAAATAAGTAGGATCATTTTGCAGTATCACTCTAAAGAGGTTTCTTTTGCATAACAATCTGCTGATTGTACACTATACCTTAGCCTAACCACACCTCCCTTTTTATAAATCCGTGTTTTGGGGTACTCAAAGGTAAAGTCGTTCATTAGAAGCCAGTCTGCACCGTCTTCTGCAGTGTCCTTCTGCAGATATCTACTGGACAGTTCATCAAATCTGGCAAACAGTTTGTGGCAGAGGAACACTCTGAAAACTGTCAAGCGTGTTTCTTACTCTCTAAGGGAAAGTCATCTTATCTGAGTAACCGGTGAAAAAACGTGGTACAAAAGATGGAGGTGAGGGACAATGGGCAGCTGCCTCGTCAAGCTGACAGGGAATCAAAAGCAAGAAGTAAACGGCAGGAAGTGTGAAGGAATCAGCAATGATGCATGGTGCCACAGGGCAGGAAAGGATCCGTGAGCAAAACATCAAATCCTGTTTCTCTTAGACTCTTAATCAGGGGCTCATTGTACAGCAGCCTTTCACAGGCTTTAACCTGCAGATATGTGAACTGCATCAGGTTCCCCAGATTTGCAAATATAACAGTTACTTGTAGAAGCTTCTCAAACAAATTATTCTTTATGTGTTCCAAGTTAGCATCCAGCTCAGCAAGGGTGTACGGCACATGAAAAGACTTAGTGGGGTAATTACCAGACACCCTAATCAGAACACTGGTTTTAGGGACCAGGACCACCATCTCATGACCCCTCTGAGAAAGCTCTTCCACCAGGATCTTCATGCTCAACCAGTGGCTGCCATCCACTGGCATAACAAGCACTTTCCATCCTGCACAGGCTCTGAGGCGAACAAGCATAGCAAAGCTAGAAGCCCCAGAGTGGAAACACTCAGTACTCTAACCATCCCTCTAATGTTTGTACAGTATACAGCATACAGAGATACGGTACATTTAAGAAGCCTGGAAATGTTTTCAGAACAGGAGGGGCCTCAAAACTAGACAAAATGGGAGTGAATGTTGATAGGCCACTGCAGCATGTGTGTACAGCACAACTAATGAGCTCAGACATTGACGCTGTCGCTGCACTGCGGTTTAAAGTCTAACAAGTGGGTGAAATGTAGCTCTGGGTTAATTATTTCAAGAACATACGAGCATATAAGAATTGTCAAAGTTATCTAGAGATAGCTTTGTTCATACAAAGGTAGAGGACCAAATGTCTGCAACAGATTTTGGTAACACTTTTAACACTTTTAGTGAGGTTCAACATGTTAACATTTAATGCATTAGGTATCATGAACCAACAGTAAACAATACTTTTACAGAAAATGTGAATATAGGTTCAAGTTAATTTCTACATAAATTTGACATTCGTGATATTTCAAATTGTATAAATTTATATAATTCTGTTATTCAAGTAAAGTATTTATAAATCAACATTGACCTGATGACAATTAAATATTAAGATTAAGCTTAATGTTTAATTTTTAAGAATTTAATTCTGTTTTCTTCATTATGAAATCAGGACAGTTTTATCACTCGGACAATTTGTATCACCCTGACAATTTTTTACTTCATGCCTCCCAAAAAATTTCTAAATGAATTTTAACTAAAAAAATTAAAAAATCATCATAGAAGAGATGTATTTAAGTCACTGTATATATGAATTGCATTCTTAATTGAATACATTTATCAGAAAATAAATGTCAGGTAACTGACATAAATGTTAACAAACTGAACTAAGCATAACCAATATTTTCCAAGGTCACATATCATGCAAACTGTGGGTGTCTCTCAATCAGCTCCCTAGGTTTTGAAACAGTATATTGTGTACACAAATTCAGGCTCTGGTAAGGACAGTAAGGACCTTTCTAACTGTGAATATAGGTTCAAGTTAATTTCTACATAAATTTGACATTTGTGATATTTTAAATTGTATAAATTTATATAATTCTGTTATTCAAGTAAAGTATTTATAAATCAACATTGACCTGATGACAATTAATAAAATATTAAGATTAAGCTTAATGTTTAATTTTTAAGAATTTAATTCTGTTTTCTTCATTATGAAATCAGGACAGTTTTATCACTCGGACAATTTGTATCACCCTGACAATTTTTTACTTCATGCCTCCCAAAAAATTTCTAAATGAATTTTAACTAAAAAAATTAAAAAATCATCATAGAAGAGATGTATTTAAGTCACTGTATATATGAATTGCATTCTTAATTGAATACATTTATCAGAAAATAAATGTCAGGTAACTGACATAAATGTTAACAAACTGAACTAAGCATAACCAATATTTTCCAAGGTCACATATCATGCAAACTGTGGGTGTCTCTCAATCAGCTCCCTAGGTTTTGAAACAGTATATTGTGTACACAAATTCAGGCTCTGGTAAGGACAGTAAGGACCTTTCTAACTACACATTGGGACACTGATGGTGACATGACAGTGTCCTCATTGTACAACGTCACTGCTGGTATTTGAACAACACCAGAACTGATATTTTTCAGACATTTTTTAATGCTTTTTAAAGTACATTATGATAAATACTTTGATTTATATAAATATATCTGCACCGGTTCAGTTGTAAATTAAGTGTAAATGTTAGCTAGATTATGTTCAGTACCTGTCTATCAATGTATGTTTATGCTGAAATATAATTAAACAATTGTTTGTTTGTTTTTGTTTTTTGGCCTCTGTTAATGTCCTGTTTACAAACTTCGTAATACACATTGTATCAGCCGCAAAGTGTGATACAGTAGTTGTTATATGCACAGCGCTGCTTTGTGTACAATGGTTACTTGGGAAAAAGCTCTATTTCTGCTGTTCCCAAAGTGTCATCTACTTCTGTCAGAGAGTGAATTTGTATTTTCATTGAGCTCATTCTTGGTGTTTTTTGCCGACTGACGTGAAAAGAAGTGAATGTGCATTCTAAAATTGAAATAATTTGGATAATAAGGTATGTAGAACATACAATATATTGATGCGAGCTCTTTTCCTCCTGGACATTATTATCAGACAGACTTTAGATTACATTAAATCTTCATTTCATCATAGATCATTCACATACGTAAACACAGCTTTATCAGTATCAAATTTTCTATCATCACATCTGTAAAACTAATGGTTTCTGTTCAGATTTTCACCCAAAATCTCGGTTCATCCCAGTTAATTTAACTGAAGTGATCTGCTCTGATGACCGGTTCTGTGAGGTCGTGCACTGATAGAGAATCATGTCCATTGGCTGCAACCTATGCGCTATGTTTTATGCAGAACTTGAATCGCTTTTGTATGCTATTGAGTGAATAAAAGATATAAATCCTTACAACAAATGTAACCAGTTTGAAGTGGAACGAATTCTGATTCAACAGTGGGAATGAGGCTGTAGCTAATGGACCTTTTTCACATTTCCAGAGTTCTTAGAAGCAGAAGTCATCATATGGGTAAAATTCTAAACCAGTGAATGAAAAATACAACAGGTCAGAAATGATAAAGATGTTAAATCTGACATCATTCCCCCAACCGTCGCCGACAGGTACAGATATTTAGCATGCCAAATATTTCACACGTCGGCGATTCTCTCAGATTCACACTGTGTGATTGTCATTCGCGTGAACGAGCACTGATTTGCCTCCAATATCGGGAATTTGTCTGCGATTTCACAAAACCTGTCAGCGAGTGAAAATCGAGGCTAAAATCGTGCAGTGTGAACTCGGCATTACGTAACAGCCGTTTCAGGACAGCCACACCAGACAAGTGTAGTCTCAGACCAGAAGTTAGGGCAGAGCTGACAATCACCTAACCTGCCCCCACCTCTAACCCAAACTTCACTACAAAACCTCAACCCCTTGCAAATGCCTAGCCCCACCCCACCACTAAACCTAACATTAATATAATCTCTATAATCTCTACCCTAAATTCTGATCTGAGACAGCTTGCCTGGCATGGCTGTCCTGAAACTTCTGTGACCGTGCTGTGGCTCTGCAGTTGGATACTATTGCCTCTGCTTGAGAGCACACACAGCAAAGTGTGCCTTTTCAAAACACAGATATATCTTGATAAAATATATTTTTTTATATGGGCTGTAACAGAAGCCAGAGGCTATTGGCTATAATTTTTTTTTTTAAGTTGTGCCCTTTAGTAGTTAATAGGTGTCAACCTTCAACACAGGTACTTTGCCTCAGTGCCCAGAGATAAAAAATTTTCATATTGTTTTTAAAACAGAGATGTTTCAAGAGAGGCATTCACACATTTCTGGAATGATTATGCTCTGTCCTCTTACAGACCTCCTCTTAAAAGACCCAAACAGTTTCTTGCTCTTTCTCAGACAATTAGATGCCATTCATTTAGACAAAACACTCTCTTATGGAATAGATGCTTGTTTTAATCGTTGCTTATGCATTTGCTGCCTATTTTCACAGTCCATGATGATGAGTCAATGACAGACAAAGAATAGAGAAAAGTCAGATGAAAAAGAGAACTATGGCACTGATCATATTAATGCAAATTTACATGCAGATGTAATTATAAGAGCTTACTTGTGACAATGATTTTGGCTTCTTGGTTGCCATTCCTCCAATCATGACCATGTTAGGCATCAGCGGCCGTGGAAATTCAAAGGCAAAGTCGAAACGCATAAACCAGAGAGCTGCACGACTCATGATCTCCACTATCGATGTTTTTCTCTGCAGTACCCGTGAGGCGATCTCATCAGCAAGAGTAAACAAACGTCTGCAAGCCATGGGCTTCAGCAGAGCCCTGACCAGGTTCACACTTCTTTGCCAAAGATTCATGTGGTCAGTAAAGTGAGTAAAAGGTTGTGGAGCATAAGAAGCTGGAACGGGACATTGACTGGCAAGAGTATCGACACCACAAGGAAGGTTTATTTGCATATAAATAGCTGGAATTGAGAGATATTCACCAGCTATTGCTCCGATGGGCTCAAATGGATCTGTGAGAATTGCATCAAAGTTGTAATCTTGCAGTTTTTTCATCAAATCCTTGTTGAAGAGCAGACCCTCTGCGTTCCTCAGTATAAATGTTTGCAGAATATCCAGTGAGATGATGAATGACTGAAACTTAGCCAGGTCTGTAGAGATATCAATGCTCAGAATTGTGTTTAACTGATCTGCTAAGTTCGCTTCTAATTCAGCCTTGGTGTAGTTCACTGGATATGTCAGAGTGGTGGTATACTCTGAAGGACCCATACTCAGACTTGCCTCTGGAACAACGACCACCACCTGGTTTCCTCTCCTCCCCAGCTCCTCTACAATAGGCTTCATCCCTAACCAGTGACTGCCATCTGATGGAATAACCAACAGTTTCCCAGCTTCAGCTGAACCAAAGGCAAAGAGACTCAGGAGCAACCACACGCCAGCCATTTGATCAATGGTATAAAAAAATCTTTCACTGTGGCTTTTTCCAGATAGAGGAAATGTCGACGAGAAATGACCAGGTCATGTGTAGCTTAAACTACTCTAATATCTCACAATTAATCTGGTTTATGTTAGCAGAGGTGGAGATTCAAGCAGCTAGGTGTGACTTTGTCTGTATAAGGCAGTGAAAGCAACCAATTGGGGTGAAAGTCTAGAAACATGTTATGTCATGCAAAAAATTTAATAGGAACAGATGTATATGGCTTGTAATGGCATGGATGAAAATGAAAAAAAGAAGAAAAAAAGGAAAAGCATATTACAACTAACTTTTGCACAAATAAAGAAATACTTTATTCTTATCGAATGCAAAGCTCAAGGCAAACATAAAATGTCATACGGTGTTGTTATTTAAATAGGTGTGTATTTGACTTTTTGAGATATGCTAAATATTGGATGGGTTTGTAGAGCAACAAATGTTTTAAAAATGGATGAGGACATGTTAAATGTATATTTGCAATTTTACCTCCCATTTGAACAGAAATTGAAATATAACAGAATACTTTTAAATGTTTATCAATAATCTATAACCTTCTAAATAAAAAACAATGCACTTTAAAATGTACATTTGAAACATAGACACTAAATTCAGCAGAACAATGTGTAATTAAAGTTCATTACTGATGCAAATTGTGCTCTTTTAAACATTTTTTTTTTTAAAGTGAAGCCTGAGCTTGAAGATAAAAATCAAAGAGCATGAAAATACTGGCCTATCAACATGTATACTTATAGGGATAGAAGCATTTTTGATCAGGTAATCTTCCAAATTGTGATAATGTTTGGCATGATTGGTTATTCAATTTACAATCCAAAACCTTGCATGGCTCACAGTTTCCAACACTGAGACTTACCTCTGTAGGAACAGCAAGGCAACTGCATTAGTTTTAGAATGAAATTGTACACTGCTAATGGAATTACTGTGAGCAATTACTGTTGAGAATTCCCAGGTGGTCACATGACCTAGCCAGCCATGGGTGGAGCCAAGTCTCCTCAGGTGCACTGAATCATTATTTAGCTGCCATTGTTTGGTGTGTGTGGGCAACATGCAGCTGAAGCTGACATTCTTTTTCCTTCTCCTCAAAGAGAGCTTCTTGTAGAGTTGATGTGTTCCTGACTTTGTGAGTTTATTCCTTTTGGTATTTTATGTTGATTCTTGAAGTTATATATGTTTGAGTTCCATGTGATGTGTCATTTATATGTACTAGTGTTTCTATTTGATTGATAAACTGTTTTGTGTTGAATTATTTGGATTATATGACTTTGTAATTTATTGTTTTAGTTACATTGTTAATTGTATCTAAGACTTGTTTGTCCGTTATTGTCTTCTGTTTTTAGGAACCATACAGCTCTATTTGAATTTTATGTTGCCATGGCTCGATTCTTATGCTTCTAATTGTTAAATAAAAATCATGGACTGAGTACTGTATCGGTTAACAGCTGGATCAGTTAACAGCTGAAACTGGTTAAAGATTTGGCAAAAAAAGATAGATACATAAACAATAAAATGGATGGTATGATTCACAATATTAGTTCCCTTTTGAAATGGGCTCTCATGTCTCATGTTCTCATGTAAACCTGCTTATGGGGAAACTCCTGTTTACTCTGAATTCTGAAGCCTGATTTGTTAACATTTGTGTAGCTGCATGAATAAATGACATTTCAGCCCGCTAAAAAGGGCAGAGCCAACTGCCTATGTCAGTTGTGCCAAATGCCGTTTCATCAGAATTTTCTCCTTCAGTGTGAAGATCATCTTCTTTGGAGTCCAGCGAGGAGAAGAACAAAGAAGCCTGCTTACTCACAGTAGAAGAACAAAACCGTGTACATTATTAACAGCAATGTTGCAATCAAACTTATAGCAAAATTTGGTCGTTTTGTATGTTGCTTCAGGGTTGTCATCTAAGGTCCTCTGAGGAGAACGGTCGTGTGTTTCGGACTGTCTCTGGCCCCGCACACTTATACAAAGTGCATGGACGCGGCTCTTTCCCCTCTGAGGCAAATTACCCAAGAGCTCTCTGTCTCCCAGCCAGTGGGCCACCTTCCTGGGGATCGTTATCGACTCGGCCCAGATGTGGGCCTGGCTTGCACCAAAACGCTCACTGACAATTCAGTGGATAGCAACGTCCTTCACATTGGGGGTCCCCCTCAAAGTTTTCCAGTGGATGCTCAGGCCTCATGTTGGCTGCATGGATGCGGCTCTTTCCCCTCTGAGGCAAATTACCCAAGAGCTCTCTGTCTCCCAGCCTGTGGGCCACCTTCCTGGGGATCGTTATCGACTCGGCCCAGATGTGGGCCTGGCTTGCACCAAAACGCTCACTGACAATTCAGTGGATAGCAACGTCCTTCACATTGGGGGTCCCCCTCAAAGTTTTCCAGTGGATGCTCAGGCCTCATGTTGGCTGCATATCAACTGCCTCGAAATGATGCCTGTTTTTCTGTCCTTAAAATCCGTACTGCTAGCCTTAAGGGGGCACCACGTCCTTGTCTGTTCTGACAACATGATGGTGATAACCTTTATAAATCACACAGGTGGTCTCAGGTCATGGTCCCTCTACAGGATGGCAAGACACCTGCTTTTATGGGCACAGTGCAATCTGTGTTCACGTGCAAGGCAAGCCGATTCCGTTCAGGAAGGACCTCCTCTCCCAAGAGAGAGGCATGATTTGGCATCCCCAGCCCGAGCTGTGGAGCCTTCATGTTTGTCCGCCTTGTCCTCATACTGTACTGACCTGGAACTTATCAACAGTCCTCATGGCCCTTTAAGGTCCTTCCTTTGAACCGCTTCAGTTGTTTTTAAAGTCTCTTATGCTTACCAAGGCTTTGATTAAAAAAAGAAAAGTAAAACTGTAATATTATTAGAATTTAAAATAACTTTTTTCTATTTTTAATTTATTCCTGTGATGGCAAAGCTGAATTTAAATAATTTATCAGAAAAACAAGTATCATCTTGAGTGTCACTTGATCCTTCAGAAATCATTCTAATATGCTGTTTTGCTGCTCTAGAAACATTGGTTTAATGACAGAAAACTAAACTATTTGTTCTTACTCGCACATAATAACCCTTGTCCTTTCGCTACCCTGAAGGATTTGCAGCAATAATATCAATAATTTCAATTTGTTGCATAGATTGAAACTGAAAGCAGGTGCCTGATTTCTTCTATCAATGCTTTGTTAGCCAGTGACTTAACAGTTAGCAATTGTGTGAAGGCACCTGTTAAGTAAACTTCAGACAAACTTGCAGAGCACCATTATGTCATGTTATTTAAACTAATGATCTGTAACTGAGCTTCAGAGATAACCAAGCAAAAAGATTAATGATCAAAGTTGTTTTCAACAATTAGTTAAAATACCTTAATATAGCATCCTTTTTTTTTTTTTTTTTTTTTACAATATCTGTCCTATAACTATGAATTTGTTTATTCTGATTTGAAATAACACAGCCAGTCCTAACTAAAACATAAATTTTTTTTTTTTTAAATGTTTACCTGACACACTCAGTAGGTTTTGCAATAATTTATGCATTTAGCAGAGGCTTTTATCCAAAGTGATTTACAGTGCATTCAGGCTATAAGTTTTTTTTACCAGTATGTTTGTTCTCTTGGAATTGAACCCACGACCTTTTGCGCTGCTAATGCAATGCTCTACCACTGAGCCACAGGAACACTGTTTTTGGAACCAACGTTTTGTGAGGCTTTATTCACATCGCTGATCTAGGTCATGGAGGTATTCAAGTTATAAAAACACAGATTATACAGATTAAGTCTCTAAACCAGGGGCCACCAAACTCTGTTCTGGAGTGCCGCTGTCCAGGGGCGGATTTAGTGATTTGGGGGCCCCAGGCAAAATACAGGAATGGGGCCCTATACATTTTCACACATTTACAATCTTGAGGTTCCTTTCACTGCTGTGATGCTCGCTGCTGCATGACTGTGTCCCACAGTTGTCCAATTTTTTAAAATATTTTTCATGTAGCCTACATGTTATAAATTATGGATTTCTTTCATGTTGTAGACCCCTTATTCACAAAAACCGGTTATAATAGTATTAGAGTAGGTTAGACACTAGGTGGTGCTTTGGGGTAATTTTCACTAAGCAATTGTCTACACAATGTAAGGCTGTCTAATTCTAAGCTTTAAAATTCATTTATTTTTTATTTATTTTAATTACCAATTTCAAATTAAACCGAAGGAAATTAAATATGTACATACTTAAGGATTATCTCAACCAAACATTAAGTGTGCCTTTGTGTAAAGTAACTGTGTATGCGTCCTCCTACTATGGGATCAGATTCCCGTCTAAAGTATTGCAGTCACGGATAAAAAAATAAGCGTGAAAACAACATTTAAAAACGCAAGTAAAAATATATTGCACAAGATTTCAAAATGAAAGCAAAGTTTTCAGTATAGCAAACAATGGTCAAGAATAGAAAAATAAGCGTAAATCAGAAAAATTAATTTAAATTAATTAAACTTTAAACACATTTAAAATCATATTGCACAGAATTGAAATATTAATGCAAAATTATCTGACTTGCGCACAAAATAAAATTTTCCTTGTTTATATTTCTTTTACTTTACTTTTACTTTTAGTCATTTAGCAGACGCTTTTGATTTATATATATTCTATATATTATATATACATATTTCTCCGTTTTTTTTTTTTGCTCTCAGACATTTTCTGCTCATATTTTTATTTTTTGTATGCTTATGCTGTTTTCTCCTTAGCTCTTGTTTGCACGTTCTGCGCTTGCTTTTCCAAATAGAGTTTCATGTAAATCAGGGTGGGTTTAAGCATCATCATTGGTCCACTAGTTCTTGATTGACAACTCCTCCTCTAGCCAATCAGTCGAAGAGGGGCGTTGACGTCACTCCAATGTGCCTCATTAACTGCCGATGCTCAGTGTTGTTCACTTGCAAAGGTGAAAATGGATAACTGTCAGCTGGGAAACATCTTTCCATACAGAACACCGTTATATGTGTCTGTCTGTCACTGCTGTACGCCTACCTGTTGATCTGTTAACGTAAAA